CTTGGGTGGAGACCGTTCTGCCTCTAGTACATGAACGCTGGTTCCATTCACGAGATTGGGAAAATTTTCATGAAGAATTTGTTCCACTATATCTTCTAGACTTCTTTCTTTCTCCTCCCCTTCAGGGATTCCAATAATTCTGACATTGGAATGTTTCATGGCATCATTTATTTCCCTGATTCTGTTTTCGTGGCTTCTATGCTGTTTGTTCCAGGCTTCCTCCTGATCCTTTCTCTCTATCTATTTGTCCTCCAGATCACTAATTCAATCTTCTGTCTCAGTTACCCTAGCTTTGAGAGAATTTAGATTAGATTGGAACTCATTGAGAGCATTGTGAACCTCATCCATGGTGGCTTTCAGTTCTGCCCTAACATTGTGAACATCATCCCTGGTCGCTTTCAGTTCTGCCCTAATCAATTCCATTTGGTCATCCATGGCTTTCTCCAACCTAGCTATTGCCTGGATAATTGTTAGCCTGAATTCTCTTTCCAACGTATTGTCTATGTTGATAGCCATTAGCTCTGTTGAAGGACCATCCTCTGTATTTTTCTTCTGTTGGGCATTCCTCCTCCTAGTCATTTTGGTTAGAGATGACTGAACGGATGTAGCTGGATGTATCAGCCATGGTGCAGTCAAGGTGCACCCTGGAACACTTCTGAGCAATCAGGATTCCCCACCTAAACGAGAGAAAAAAGAAAAGAAAAAGAAAAAAAGAGAGAGAGAGAGAGAGAGACAGGAAAAAAAGGGAAGATAAAAGAGGAGGTTCAGCCCAAATGGGCCCCAAGGTAAGATTGATGAAGTATACAAACAAAAACAGACAAACAAAAAGACTGATAAAAGTATGTGACAAGAGAAAAAAATATATATATATAAGGAAATAAAGGAAGAACCTCGTCAAAAAGAACCCCAAGTATAAGATTTATATAATATCAGGACAAACACAAAAACACAGAAACACTGGCGGAAGAAAAAAATGGGAGAGTGGTTATAAATTCTCAGTGTGGGCGAGGAAGGTTGTTTTGATTCTTCCTGGATATATCTTGATATCTTTGTTAAAGGACTCAACTTTCCTAAGATAAAGGGGGATTAAAAATTGATTTACCTATAGGGGTAGCATTGATTGGGGAGAGGGGATTACATTGAAGTTTAACTCTATATGAATATTAGAAAATAAAAATAAAAAAGGAATAAACTAGACTAAACTAAACTAAAATTTAAAAAAAATTTAAAAATAGAAATGCAAAAGTAAAACACAGGTGTATGTATCAAAAAGTTCAGGTTAGAAGGTTATTATGGAATTTGATGTACTGGACATCTCACTGTGATGGTAAATAGGTTAAAAAAATTATCTATATAAAAAAAATGAACCAGAATAGTGGGAACAAGTTAAAAATAAAAGTTGTCCTTTGAAGTAGTGGTGGTTGTTCTCTTGTAGTCTTTTTTTTTTTTTTTTTTTTCTTTCCTGGTTGGTTTTCTGGGGGAGGGGACTGCCACGTGGGTTTTCAGTCAATGATGTTCGCTGAGTTAAGTCCTCCCGCCCCCTTCAAAGGGGTGGGCTCTGAGGAAACCGGTTTTTTCAGGCTTTTGTTCTCTGGAGGTTTTTATGTTTGTTCACTTTTTTTTTTCTCTCGCCTTGACCGCTTTTGATGATTTTTGTAGGTTTAGAGGAAAGCAAACTGCACCCTGACCTCCCTCTCAGAGAGAAGCCTCAGTCTGGTCCCCTGTGGGTGCTGCAGAGCCCATATAAATTCCCCCTTGGCCATTGGCAGAGCAGGTTCCAAGTTGCGGTCCCTGGGGACGCAGGATCTTCTGCTTGTACCCAAAATCACGGCAGTGGCTGCTGTCTGGGCAGCTCCAGACAGCCAGAGAGGTTCCAAGCAGCAATCGCACACTGAGATTTTCCCGCTGGCCCGGGCTGGGAGTGCCTGGTCTTTCCGGGTCTAAGAGCACAGGGCTTGTGCGCACCTCTCTCAGCGGAGGGTGTGGGGCGTGCGCGCGTCTCAGGCTCTGATAGCCGGGCGTGGGTCTGAGAGCACCAGGCTGGGCCTTCGCACACCTCTCTCAGGGGAGGCTTTGGGGTGCATGTGCATCTCAGGCTCTGATAGAATGGTGCGGGTCTAAGAGCGCCAGGCTAGTCCTTTGCGCACCTCTCTGAGGGTAGCGTGATGGGCTGCGCATCTCAGGCTCTGTTAGCACAGCTCAGCATTCTGCCATCTGGCAAGGCTCCCAGTCCCTCACAGGAGCCAGACCCCACCTGGCAGCTCAAGGACCAAGACCTGGTTTCTCCGCCGCATTCTCTCTGGCTCAGCGCCAGGGGAGGCTGTCCAGGGTCCGGGGACTTAAGCCCCTGTCCCTAGCTGCCCCAATTCCCACAATTACCCCCCCATGATCCTTTGCTCTTTTTGAGTGCTTTCAACCAGTCTCCAAGTTAATGCTCATCCCCAGATGCAGGGCACTCTCCTATTAGGGGTATTACTTTCCAATCTGTTGCCTCTGGTGGCTCCCTCCCCCTTTTGTTTATCTTCCGATATCAGTCTGACATTCCCACTCCGCTTTACCTGACCACTGGCATCTTCTGCCCCTGTAGAGATCCAGACGTGTATAATTCTGATCTCAGGCTGATTTCATGGGTGATTGGAGTTCTTTGGTAGGTAATCAGCTCACTTTAGAGTACAGATTGAAACTGCGCCTCCTCCTACTTCCCCGCCATCTTGTCTCCTCTACTCAGTTATTTCTTTTTTATCTTTATTGTTTTAAAGAGAGACAGAGGGCAGGAGAAGGCGAAGGGGCAGAGGTAGAGGGAGAAGCAGGCTCCCACTGAGCAAGGAGCCTGATGTGGGGCTTGATCCCAGAACCCTGGGATAATAATGACCTGAGCCAAAGGCAGACATTTAACTGACTGAGTCACCCAGGCACCCCTCAATTATTAATGATAACACAATAGGGTAGTGAAGTGCATAAACTCTAAATTGAGAACCCTGGGTTTTGAAGTTTGGCTTTGCCACTTACAAGCCATAGAGCCCTAAGTCACAAACTCCCTGTGCCTGTGTTTCCTCTAAGTTGGGGGTGGGTAGAATAATATCATTGACTGTAGATATTTGTTGTGAAGATTTCTAAGATTAATTATTCTATTTAATGCTAGTGATTGATGCCAAATTAGTAATTGTCTGGGGCCTAGCAATTTCTGGAGGCTGAAACTGACTGTAAAGAGGTATTTGAAAACTTTTAAGTAATGAAAGTGTCCTAAAATTCGATGATGGTTGTGTCACAACTGCATACCATTTCTAAAATTTATCAAATAATACTCTTAAATAGATCTTACTGCATATACAATATACATTATATCTCAATAAAGATGTAAAAATTTTTTTTTTAAAACTGTTTTTTTTCCTGCTTTTTCCTGTTCTCTCAGCTGCCTTATTTAAACTCTTCAATCTCATTAATTTCACTCTCAAAAATTTGCCATGGGACATCATCAAAATGGCCGAATAAGACATCCCTTGCTCAATGACAATTTCACATCCATTCAAAGACTAGAGGGCCTTCAGATCCAGGTAAGAGATTGTGAAACCCTGGTGCAGTCTACAACCTAGGAGAACTGCTTTGAGAAAGCAGTCTTGCACCAAGGAAGTTGACTCACTGACTGTGATCCCAGCTACAGACCCAGAAGCAGTTTCACCTCTGAAGACTTGATACAGCTTTATTTAACTTTAGTTATGTTACCAGCACCATACACCCAAAGGACCCAGGAGTTGTCACAATCACCTGCACATCAGGATATAAGCACACAAACCTCTGTCCCTGTTATGGACCCTGAAGTCATCCATGGAAAGTCTCCAGCTCCTCTAAGCTGTGTTCCAGAGGCTGCTAGAGGTAAGCTCACTAGACTTGGTATGACTATAGATCCTGAGAGGACCTATATATAACTATATATAGTTATTAATATATTATATAATATATTATAATATAATAATTTATTATATAATTATATATAATCATATTATATATTAATTAATATATAATATTATATAATTATATATAATTAATTATATATTATAATTATGATTATAATATATAATTATATATATAATTATAATTATATTTTTATAATTATAATTATAAAAATATATATAATATAATTATATATATTTTTATAATTATAATTATAAAGGAATATTATGTCCTTACTGTCCTACCCAGTCACCAAGTGACTCCTATTCTTCACTGACCACCCCTTTACCTCCAATGTGTCACAGAAGTGGTGTCTTTATATTCTGAAATCCTTTCCATCTCCCTTTTCATCTTCTCCATTGATCCCAATGTCATTTCATTCATGGACAAGCCATGTCACATGTATTTGTAACACTTGGGAAACAAGGGTAAAATGCAGATTATTAGATTTCATTCTTGAGCCACTAAATCTAATTCTAAAGAAAGCCTTACAATCTATATTTTGTACAAGAGTTCCTCAGAGAATTTCAGGGTATAACCTGGTTTGAGAACCAGTGGGCAGTAGTAACATCCTCCTGACTAGTACTCATGACCCCAACTTTAAATCCCTGCAACCTATTTCGTATGCTATAACATACTCATTTAAAAAAAGTCTTACAGTGCCACTCCTTTTTTTCAGTGCATGCTTCTTCCCTGATGAAAAATGTTCAAGATCCTTCACATGTTATTCAACTCATTTTATTGCCCAGGTTCTTCAAGTTGCTTTCCTCTTCACCCTACATCCATGTCCTAGATACAGAATTTCTCTTTCATACTCAATCTTATCCCATAAATTTAGCATTTACATACAATATCTTTCATTTTCTCAATTATGTTCGTTGTAGCACATTTTAAAAATGGAAATAATTGCATTTATTTCCAAGACCCCCAAACAATTCCATCTATTACAGAGGTAATACAAAAAATTGAGAGGGTATTTATGAGGTACATACTTTTATTCAACTCTCCTCCCTATAATTCATGTTACAAACTGACTTTTTTTTTTTTTTTTGGTCATTTGTTCAATTTCATTTCAGGCCACACCAACTGAGGACATAGAAAAGGATAATGCAACATTCCTGACAAAATTGATTCTCACAGGACTCACATATGAACCACAGTGGCAAATTCCCCTGTTCCTGTTGTTCTTGGTTATCTATCTTCTCACCATTGTGGGGAACCTTGGGCTGATTGCTCTCATTTGGAATGACACTCAGCTTCACATCCCTATGTACTTATTCCTTGGGAGTCTGGCATTAGTGGATGCTTGGTTATCATCCACAGTATCCCCCAAGATGCTAGTCAACTGCTTTTCTGAGAGCAAGATGATCTCTCTCTCTGAATGCATGATACAATTCTTTTCCTTTGCAATCAGCGTAACCACAGAATGTTTTCTGCTGGCAACAATGGCATATGATCGGTATGTGGCCATATGCAAACCCTTACTTTATCCAGTGATTATGTCCAATACACTATGCATCCAGCTGATACTTTTGTCATTTTTAGGTGGCCTTCTTCATGCCATAATTCATACTTCTTTTTTATTCAGATTAACCTTCTGCAATTCCATCATAGTACATCACTTTTACTGTGACATTATACCATTATTTAAGATTTCTTGTACTGATCCTTCTATTAATTATCTGATAGTATTTATTTTCTCTGGGTCAACACAAGTATTTACCATTTTGACTGTTCTTGTGTCTTACACACTAGTTCTCTTTACAATCTTAAAAAAGAAGTCTCTACAGGGCATAAAGAAAGCCTTCTCCACCTGTGGAGCCCATCTTTTATCTGTGTCTTTATACTATGGCCCCCTTCTCTTCATGTATGTGTGCCCTAGATCTGCACAAACAGATAATCAAGATATGATGGACTCTCTATTTTACACTATTATAATTCCCGTGTTAAACCCAATGATCTATAGCCTGAGAAATAAGAAAGTCATAGATTCACTGGGAAAAATGTTAAAGAGAAATGTTTAGTACTTATGGAAGATTTTTTTCTTCTTCCACTAGAATAATATGAAATTGTGCAGATTAGATGTTGCTATGTGTTGATTAGTGTTCAAAGGTTTTGGCAGTTATAATTATCCTTGCATTCAAATGACTTAAGGTGGGACTACAAATAACCATCTTAAATATGTGTATATATTATTGAAAAACAGAATTTTACTCAAGTTTTCATGTCATACCAAAATAATTAAGAAAAATATTTCACATGTTTTTAAAATTTTTGTTTATTTAAAAAAATTTTTTTTCAGTGTCCCAGAATTCATTGTTTATGCACCACACCTAGGGCTCTATGCAATACGTGCCCTCCATAATACCCACCACCAGGCTCACCCAACCTCCCACCCCCACCCCTCCAAAACCCTCAGATTGTTTTTTAGAGTCCACAGTCTCTCATGGTTCTTCTCCCTCTCCAATTTCCCCCAACTCCCTTCTCCTCTCCATCTCCCCATGTCCTCCATGTTATTTCCTATGCTCCACAAATAAGTGAAACCATATGATAATTGACTCTCTCTGCCTGACTTATTTCACTCAGCATAATCTCTTCCAGTACCGGCCATGTTGATACAAAAGTTGGGTATTCATCCTTTCTGATGGAGGCATAATACTCCATAGTGTATATGGACCACATCTTCCTTACCCATTGGTCCTTTGAAGGGCATGTTGGTTCTTTCCACAGTTTGGCGACTATGGCCATTGCTGCTATGAACACTGGAGTACAGATGGCCTTTCTTTTCACCACACCTGTATCTTTGGGGTAAATACCCAGTAGTGCAATTGCAGGGTCATAGGGAAGCCCTATTTTTAATTTCTTAAGGAACCTCCACACTGTTTTCCAAAGAGGCTGCACCAACTTGCATTCCCACCAACAGTGTAAGAGGGTTCCCCTTTCTCCACATCCTCTTCAACACACATTGTTTACTGTGTTGTTAATTTTGCATGTTTTAATATTTTCAGTGTGTCTTCATAAATGTACTAACCACTGTAATATCTTAATTCCTCTGAAAAGAATTTGAATATGAGTCTTTTATAGGGATACAGTTGTGCAACCTGAAGCATCACATCACATTTCACTTCACAGTTGGGTCAGGTTTATGTTTGAGTGAACAGAGGCAAAAAAGTATAATGAGTGATCAAATTTCAGTCCACTCCTGCCCTTCCTCTCTCACCACTGGTTCCATATATAGCCCTTCTGATAGTGCTAAGGGTCCCACACTAAGATTACTCACATCAGTCATTTGTTATATTCTTGTTACTTCTACATCCTATTGATATTCTTTTTATTTCCCAAGCATTGCTGTTAGACTATTCTTCATAAACAGAGTCTAAGTAATATCCCTCCTGAATAGATTTACAAGGATTGCCATATCTACCAGATTTAGAATATATATAGCATACATATCTAGAACTCTATATATGCATATGTATATATTTAATGTCCAAGTACATGAATGGATTACATAAACACATCTACATATATATATATATTACCCTGAATTTGTGACCCTGGCAGTACTTGAGGTACTTCCCAATAAAATCTTGATTCGACTCTGAAGTCTCCTTCCTCACAATTCTTCTACTGGATCCTGTGTTTTACCCCAAATAATTTACTGAAAGCCTTCTGGATACCTTCTTTTGATATCTGTTGAACATTGGTTTGTCTCTCTCACTCTCTTCCCCCTTCACCCTTTGCTTATCTGGTTTGTTTCTTAAATTTCACATATGAGGGGTGCCTGGGTGGCTCAGTGGGTTAAGCCTCTGCCTTCAGCTCAGGTCATGATCCCAGGGTCCTGGGATGGAGCTCCATATCGGGGTCTCTTCTCAGCGGGGAGCCTGCTTCCCCCACTCCCCCGCCTACCTCTCTGCCTACTTCTGATCTCTGTCAAATAAATAAATAAAATCTTTAAAAAAAATTTCACATATGAGTGAAATCATATGGTATGTGTCTTTCTCTGACTTATTCTACATAGCATTATATGCTCTAGCACCATCCATGTCCTTGAAATGGCATGATTTCATTATTTTTGATGTTTAAATAGTATTACACACACACACATATCTATCTATATCTATCTATATCTATATCTATATCTATATCTATATCTATATCTATATCTATATCTATATCTATATCTATATCTATCTATCACAACTTCTTTGCCATCAATTGATGGACACTTGGGCTGCTTCCATATCTTGACTATTGTAAATAATTCCCCTATGAACATAGGGGTGCCTGCATCTCTTCGAATTAGTGTTTTGTTTTCTTTGAGTAAATACCCAGTAGTGCACTTGCTGGATAATATGGTAGTTCTATTTTTAACTTTTTGAGAACCCTCCATACTCTTTTCCACAGCACTGCATCAGTTTATATTCCCCCTCACAACAGTGTGAGAGTGTTTCTTTTTTCTCCACATATTCAACAGCAGTTGTTTGTTTTTTTATTTTAGGCATTCTGACAGATGTGACGTCATATCTCATTGCAGTTTTGATTTGTGTTTTCCTGATGAGTGATGATGAGAGCCTTTTCATGTGTCTGTTGGCTAGCTGTATGTCTTTTTTTGAAAAACGGCTGTTCATGTCATATGCCCATTTTTTTTTTTCAATTGGATTATTTGTTTTTTTGGGTGTTGAGCTGTAGAAGGTCTTTTTTTTTAAATTTTTTATTTCTTTTCAGCATAACGGTATTCATTGTTTTTGCATCACACCCAGTGCTCCATGCAATACGTGCCCTCTCTAATACCCACCACCTGGTTCCCCCAACCTCCCAACCCTGCCCCTTCAAAACCTTCCATTCATCCGTTGAAGGGCATCTTGGTTCTTTCCACAGTTTGGCGACTGTAGCCATTGCTGCTATAAACATTGGGGTATGGATGGCCCTTCTTTTCACTACATCTCTATCTTTGGGGTAAATACCCAGTAGTGCAATGGCAGGGTCATAGGGAAGCTCTATTTTTAATTTCTTGGGGAATCTCCACACTGTTTTCCAAAGTGGCTGCAGCAACTTGCATTCCCACCAACAGTGGGAGAGGGTTCCCCTTTCTCTACATCCCCTCCAACACATGTCATTTCCTGTCTTGCTAATTTTGGCCATTCTAACTGGTGTAAGGTGATATCTCAATGTGGTTTTGATTTGAATCTCCCTGATGGCTAGTGATGATGAACATTTTTTCATGTGTCTGATAGCCATTTGTATGTCTTCATTGGAGAAGCATCTGTTCATATCTTCTGCCCATTTTTTGATATGATTGTCTGTTTTGTGTGTGTTGAGTTTGAGGAGTTCTTTATAGATCCTGGTATCAACCTTTTGTCTGTACTGTCACTTGCAAATATCTTCTCCCATTCCATGGGTTGCCTCTTTGTTTTGTTGACTGTTTCCTTTGCTGTGCAGAAGCTTTTGATCTTGATGAAGTCCCAAAAATTCATTTTTGCTTTTGTTTCCTTTGCCTTTGGAGACATATCTTGAAAGAAGTTGCTGTGGCTGATATTGAAGAGGTTACTGCCTATGTTCTCCTCTAGGATTCTGATGATTCCTGTCTCACGTTAAGGTCTTTTATCCATTTTGAGTTTATCTTTGTGTATGGTGTAAGAGAATGGTCGAGTTTCATTCTTCTACATATAGCTGTCCAGTTTTCCCAGCACCATTTGCTGAAGAGGCTGTCTTTTTTCCACTGTATATTTTTTCCTGCTTTGTCGAAGATATTTGACCACAGACTTGAAGGTCCATATCTGGGCTCTCTACTCTGTTCCACTGGTCTCTGTGTCTGTTTTTATGACAGTACCATGCTGTCTTGGTGATCACAGCTTTGTAGTAAAGCTTGATATCAAGTAACGTGATGCCCCCAGTTTTATTTTGTTTTTCAACATTTCCTTAGCGATTTGGGGTCTCTTCTGATTCCATACAAATTTCTGGATTATTTGCTCCAGCTCTTTGAAAAATACCGGTGGTATTTTGATCGGAATGGCATTAAAAGTATAGATTGCTCTAGACTCTTTCTATGAAGCCAGCATTACCCTGATCCCCAAATCAGGCAAAGACCCTACCAAAAAGGAGAATTTCAGTCCAATATCACTGATGAATATGGATGCTAAGATTCTCAACAAGATCCTAGAAAACAGGACCCAACAGTACATTAAAAAGATTATCCACCATGACCAGGTGGGATTCATCCCTGGGCTACAAGGATGGTTCAACATTCGCAAATCAACCAATGTGATAGAACAAATCAATAAGTGAAGAGAGAAGAACCACATGGTCCTCTCAATTGATGCAGAAAAAGCATTTGACAAAATCCAGCATCCGTTCCTGTTTAAAATGTTTCAAAGTATAGGGATAGAGGGAACATTCCTGAGCTTCAGAAAATCTATCTATGAAAGACCCACAGCAAATATCATCCTCAATGGGAAAAAGCTCGCAGCCTTCCCGTTGAGATCAGGAACACGACAAGGATGCCCACTCTCACCACTCTTGTTCAACATAGTATTAGAAGTCCTAGCAACAGCAATCAGACAACAAAGAGAAATAAAAGGTATCCAAATTGGCAATGAAGAAGTCAAACTCTCTCTCTTCGCAGATGACATGATTCTTTACATGGAAAACCCAAAGGACTCCACTCCCAAACTACTAGAACTCATACAGCAATTCAGCAACGTGGCAGGATACAAAGTCAATGTACAGAAATCAGTGGCTTTCTTACACACTAACAATGAAAATACAGAAAGGGAAATTAGAGAATCGATTCCATTTACTATAGCACCAAGAACCATAAGATATCTGGGAATAAACCTAACCAAAGAGGTAAAGGAACTGTACTCGAGGAACTACAGAACACTCATGAAAGAAATTGAAGAAGACACAAAAAGATGGAAGACCATTCCATGCTCTTGGATCGGAAGAATAAACATTGTTAAAATGTCTATACTGCCTAAAGCAATCTATACTTTTAATGCCATTCCGATCAAAATTCCACTGG